GGGGGGTTAGGGGATGAGTGAAAAAGGTGAAGGGATTTGGAAGTACAAATTGCTAGTTACAGAATAGTCATGGGGATGTAAAGTACAGCATAGGGAATATCCTATATAATAAACCTCTAATATGCAAATAGACCGAACAGTGGAACAACTGAAGAAGCGGTCACTATGACATCCGCTGACCACCAGTGAGCAAGTGTGGAATATGGTGGGCATTGGCAGCAGGCAGCCGAGCGCGGAACATGTAAGAATTGGAGCAATATGCAAATAGACCGAACAGTGGAACAACTGAAGAAGCGGTCACTATGACATCCGCTGACCACCAGTGAGCAAGTGTGGAATATGGTGGGCATTGGCAGCAGGCAGCCGAGCGCCGGAACATGTAAGGAAATTGGAGCAGGTGAGCGGGGTGCGAGGCCAAGGTGGGGTGCCAGTCACTGTCATTGGGGTAAGCCTCTGGTTGTTACTGAAAATTCTTTGATCCCATGGGTCATGGTCCTGCCAGGTACTCGCACCTACTGCTGGTGCCAGCACCACTTGCATCTGCTGCCAGAACCCAGCGCTGGCCCCAATCGCTCAGCGCTATCAGCGGGTGTGAGTGGTGGCTGTTGGCCATGATCTCCCCTCAGGGAGTCTCCACCTCTCCATGCTCCTGAGGGACAATCAGGGCCAGCAGCTGCTTCTTGCATCTGCTGCCAGTGACAGCTCCACTTGCACCCACTGCCAGCACCCGACACTGGGCCTGATCACCCCTGAGGGCTACTCCACCTCCTCTTGCTCCTGAGAGGCAATAAGGACAGCAGCTCTGGCTCAACCCACTGACAGTGCCGGCCCCACTTATACCCACTGCTGGTGCCAGCCCCAATTGCTCAGTGCTGTCAGCCCATGGGGGCAGTGGTGGTGGGAGCGGAGCTGCTGGTAGAGAGGGGACCAGGGACCGCAGCAGGAGGAGCCAGGTGGGGGCCAGAGGATGGGCCAAGACCCGCCCCTGTGCCCACCGCAGTCTCATGGCCTAGAGTTCCTTTCAAGGTGCACAAATTGGTGCACTGGGCCCCTAGTGCTTCCTATAATGTACCAAGCACTTCCAGCACACATTTTTGGTAATTCATTTTGTGTCTCAGCTAATGGCCACACATAACCTTGCTGCTGGAAGACAATAATAACAGAAACAACAACAAAATGGCCACTCATGTTTTTATTGATTTTAAATTGATTTTTTAGAGAGGGAGAGAGAGAGAGAGAGAGAGAGAGAGAGAGAGAGAGAGAGAGAGAGAGACCACACAACAGTCCTCCCAAATGTGCCCCACCAGGGATTGTGGAACCTGCAAACTTTTAGTGTATAGGACATGTTCCAAACACTGAGCAACCCGGTTTATTATATATATTTACACAAATGGGAACGTATTGGACATCTTATTCTACAACTTGCTGTTTTCACTTAGTACATTTTGGATGTTTTCATCCAATGTAGATTTCAATGAGTCTAGATTTACTCCTTTTAAAAAGTGCTGTGTAGTAATCGATTGTGTGACTGTACTAATGTATTTCACCAGTCTGCTATTAATGAATATGTTAGTTGAACCTATTGTGGCAATCATTTTGCAATACATGTATATCATACCATCATGGTGTAAAGTTTTGTTTTTTTTGATGCTTATATGTCATTTAACTTGTTTTTTAGAAATCTTCTTTTTCTACCCTTCCCATTTTTTTAAAAATAAGGGACTTTTTTTTAAATTACCTTTGTTCTCCCCCTACATAGTTAGACTTCGGTTTTGTCATTTACAACAACTAATACTAATTAAAATAGAGATGGTTGGGATAGAAAATAAACCAATAAAAATATAATCAGTAGCTATATAATAATTTAATCTTTTCATGGTGATATAGTTCAACATTTTATAATGTTCTATCCTTCACAGATACATTTATTTTGGCCAAGGGAAGTCTAACTAACATTTAAGAATAATAAAATGAATGAAGGGATTTTTTTAAGATCTAGGGCAGAGAAATTGAGAAGGTAAGTGTGAGAATTAATGATTGTTGTGACAGTTATCATAAAGGTGAAAACATAGTAATTCTTCAGACCATTGGAGACAAATGCCATTAAATAACTATAGTTAATGGGATTATGATTTTAGATATTTTCCAATTATAATAGAAATTCCATAATGAGAGTATAAGGAAAAGATGTAATGCCAGGATTCAGTAACCTGCCTAAGAGTAGAATTTAAACATCTACAAGGCCTAAGTGTTCAGCGTTTGTGATTAAGATGTAAGTTAACAGCATGGGTGGTGAAGTCTTTTGTCCTCTGATACCATTTCAAATAAGAAAACATCTTCTCAGAGGCATTGCCAATGGGGATAAACTACAGCACGCACTTACTGGCCCAAAATATCCTACATTCTGGAGGTGTTTGATGACGTAAATCATCTTCAAAATAGCCCAAGTGTAAGAATTTCCTGTTCAAACTTTCAGTGACATATTTATGAGAAATCTACTTTTTCCACTCATGATTCACTGCGAACCCTGACGGGGCAGTCTGTGAAGACCACAGACATTCTTTACTTATGAGAGAACCTAGTCTCCCAGTGAAGGATATAGAAGGTATGTGTCTCTATTCTCCTGTCTCTCTGTTAGCCCGTCTCATGTAGTGGGGGATTACAAATGCTGGATGTGATGCAAGGGAGGTACAATTAAGATACAATCAAATAAAAGAGAACATTGGTATCTTTATGTAAATAATTTGGAGCAAAAAATGAGAAAAAATATGAACTATGTTGGAGGATATCCAATGATTCAAATTCTTGCCTGTAGAGAAGGGATCAAGTGCCTGCACAGATGCATAATTGATGTGTTAAGCAAAACTAATTTGAAGTAGAATCCAGCAAGAATAACGACAGGACCTATTTTTATTTTATTTTATAATCAATATAGGTATAATTTATATTTAGCCCAGCCTCTAAAAAGAGATTGTTAAAATGAATTCTCTGAATTACAGTGGTAATCTAATATACACTTATTTAGATCAAATGTGAGCAGTTGGCTTTTAATATAAATCAGTATGAAGTATCTCCTATAAAATGAAAATTTAAGCTTAATTATAAACAATCAAAAGATATTTAAAAAAATTGAACAAACTTTGCGAGAAACGGCACCACACTGACAAAGAGACTCTTGTTTAACGAATTATGTTTCAGCTTAATAAATAAATATATGCTACTAAATAAAATTAATTATTTTCAGAAAGTTACCATATATGCCAACACAACTGATGCCCAATCTTTGGAGCACTCAGTCTTCAATCATTATTTGATTTCAAATTTTTCAAAAATACTGGAAACTCTTTTTTCTAATACAACATTTTAATTTTAATACAAGCATTCTAATAATGCTAAATATTTTTATGGAATCTGACTTTAAATTAATGACCATGTCATAATTTATGCTATTCTTGATTCCTCACTGATTTATTGCTTTCTTTGGCTCAAACAAATAATATATTGTCAAATGTAGAATATCATAAAAATTACACCTACTATGAAGCACTTGTTTAAGATCTAACAAATTTAAAACCAGAACTTTAGATTTTCAACTTGGAAATGAGCCCTACTATCCTTTACCCCACCCAGTTTTCCTGTCCTAGAGATCACATTATTGCATAGGTCATTTATTCGTAAGTACACTTGACTTAGAGCACAGTCTCAATCACCACCCAGCTGCGGAGATGAATAACCAACGTGTAACCTATGCAGAACTGAATTTGGCCAAGTCCGCCAAGAGACAGCAAAGGAAGCCTAAGGGCACTCAAAGCTCCATTCCAGTAACGGAGCAGGAAATAATAACCTATGCAGAATTAGCTCTTCAAAGTGCTTCCCGGGATCTTCAAGAGAGGGACAAGAAGGACCACTCCAAAGGTAACACAATCAATAGACACACAGCATAACTGTTCTAGTCTGTGCAGCTGGGGTGCAGAGATGTGGGGAAGGTAGGGCGTTAGCTCACATATTTTTCATTTGTGAGAATCAGCGCTTAAAGTTGGAATACAGTTTTCTAAGATGAAAGCTGAGGGCTAATTCTATTCAGGTATAGTTGAAAGGGGTAGTCTTTGACCAGTAACGCATGGAGCATTATATTTCCTAAACATGCGATGGTATATTCTGGTAGGAAGATTACAGTGGTAGTTATGGGCTTGGTGTCCAAGTTTATGTATTTGATTCTCTGTATGTAAACTGTCTAAACAATTCTTTCTATCACCTTTCTCAGTGTTTCATTTTCTCTTCTTGCAGTTTCACTATCACCTCCAGAGAAGCGCATTACTTGGATCCTAGGGGTCATCTGCCTTGTCCTGATGTCTGCTGTGGTGACAATACCTATTATTCTCTGTAAATACATTTTTGTAAGGTTATACAGAACTTCTCACTTTTATGTCCATCAGTGCCTCTGAACACTTCCTAATATTATGAAATAGAACTCTGATCCTAAAGTATGCATTTATACTAATTGCAAAATGGTAATTCTGAATTTGTCCAATGTATAAATATCAAGATGATTTTAGGGAGTAGGTTATAAATATATGTACACATATATGACCACATATATCCATATATAGAGATATATATTCATATATCCATAATGTATGAAGATATATATAATCAGAGTATAAATATATATTTTGTATTCTCAAAGTATACTTTAGGACACCTTATTGAGAAATAGAAATTAATTTTTGAGATTGTTTAATCCAAATACTGTGAGATGTAGTTCTCTAGACTTTAAAAACACATTTCCTCATAATCATTATTACTACATTAATTTTCATTGGTAATTAAATTTTATTCCAGATAATTCTAATCCTAGACAATACAACACAATTAAACATAAGACACAAAAGTATTATGGTGTAGTTAGATCAAGATTAATTTAAGAATTACTTTTTTTTCAGCTAATATAATACTGGAGCAGAATAATTCTTCATTGAAAACCGGGATCCAGGAAGGTACATAATTATTTTCTCAGTTCTGATATTAGTGTAGTTCATACTTTATCTCTAACATAGGGTAGTCAAAAATAATAGCTTTTAGGGAATGGGGACATAAATTATAATACCAAGCAATAAATGTTCATAATAATTATAGAAGAGTGTTTTCTTATGTAACAATATGAAGCAATATTCATTTAAGATCATAATACCCATTGTTGTAGATGGGCTCAAAGACAATTTTAGGATTCTAAAAAATGGTTTTCTTCATTGACATTTAGGACATGTAGAGAGTGGATATTTTTGTTTGTTTGCTTAATATGGGACATAAACTAGGAAACAAGAGACTAACTGTTCTCTGTGAGTATGTTTTCTTTTTATATATTGCACAAATGTGTCTATACCTATGCAAATATGTAAATTATTTTTAAAAAATTTGAATTGTTTTTGATAAAATTTTATAATCTTTCTACAGAATATTATTGTGGACATTGTCCAAAGGAGTGGTTTACATATTCCAACAGTTGTTATTACATTAGCACTGAAAGAAAAGCATGGAATGAGAGTGTGCTGGCCTGTGCTTCTAAGAACTCTAGCCTGCTTTACATAGATAATGAAGAAGAAATGGTAAGATTTAAATGTTTCGATCTTATTTAAAAGTCTATTTTACTCTATATTTATAGAATTGATTCCTATTTTGTATATATTCATAGTTTACTTATTTTAAAGACTATTAACATACATTGTTTGACTCTCTAATATTTTGTCTATATTTTATGCCATTCATGCACATTTGATAATTTCCAGTTCTTGCTTTTTTTTATAGATAGCCATGCTTCTGTAAACGTTTTTTTTCTAATGTAAACTTTGCTACTTAATTTTACTATACATCAAGGAAACTGAAGGTATCATGATTTTGCAGATTAATTACAAACTTAAATACCCCATATAATTACAAATCATGAAATAGAAGTTGCGAGTCCGCAGTAACCCCTCTCCTGTGTGTCTCCTTTAACACTCACATGTGTCTCCTTTAACACTCACATGACATTTTTGCAATCTCTCCATATTATTGCATTTATCTGTAATTTGTTAATTTTCACTGCTTTATTATAGTTACATGACATTTTAAATCTGTTTTACCCAGAATGTAGTTGTTTTTTAATATGGAATTATGAATAATAATTTTATAAAAATCCTTGTCTGTTTTTTTCAAATATTATATTGTATTTAAAAAATTTATTTCATATATAAATATTAAATATAATACATTATATTCATATACTATAAATGTTATATTTATAATAATATGATAATGATATATAAATCTATAATAATAAAAGCATAATATGCTACTTAGACTGGACAGCCGAATGACCTTCCAGACCACCATCCAGACAAAGCTGGGGCTGCAAGGGCCGAGGCAGCTGCTGTGGCTGTGAGGGCCGAGACCCTTGGACAAATTTCATGCATCGGGCCTCTAGTACAATTATATTACTATAATTGCATATGTAGATAGTTAAAATTTATTGTCCTCGATGAATCAGAATGAAATTACACAGTCAAAAATATATGTATATGCCAAATTTATTAGATTATCCCAACATTTTCTAGTTTATTATGTAAATACACATTTTATCCAAAAATTCCATGATCCAAGATTTAGTACTGCCAGAACGTTCAATGCTATACATTCTGATCATTATATAAAACTATCATTTTGACATAAATAGGCAATTTTCTGATTACTAATGGATAGAACCCATCTTTCTGGGCACTAGTTCTTATAGAATTATGTATCGAGAGAATGAGAGGTGCCTGTTCATGTCTCTCCACTATTTCTCCTGTGTGCTGCCTGTTATTTCCTTTCCTAGAAGTTGTTATATTTCCTATAGGAGCTCTTTTTTAAATTTGTAAGTGCAAATAGTGTTTTTGACTGTTACTTACATTCTCAGTCTCATATTGGAGTCTTTAAATGACCTGAATTTATTAATGTTAACCTAGTCCAATATATCATTATGGGTGTTAGTGATTATTTTAGAAGTTAGTGAAAGTTTGTGAAGACAATCTGCTATATGATATGAGAGATACATCCATTAGTTGCCTCCTCTATGTGCCCCAACTGGGGTTCAAACCCACAACCGAGACATGTGCCCTGACTGGGAATTGAACCCACAACCTTCTGGTCCATGTGATGATGCTACAACCAACTGAGCCACACTAGCCAGGGCTGCAATCATATTTTCATATAGTTGTTTAAACATAGTATTTTTCTAATATATGTTTATAATAACTAATTTAAAATATTTTCTAATAAATCTGACATTTTATCCCAGTGAAAATTAGACTCTATTGACTAATCCCCCACCAAGTGTAAAAGGTATTTTTTAATTTCTTTGCATGTTTTCTAATTTTGGGTAAGTACATATTTTTGATAATATAATACACTAAATATGGATTCTGCATCTTTCTTAGATATTTTTGTAACTTTAATAACCTGTTAGTGTAGAATCTTCTCTTTTGAAGTGTGCTTACTCAGTTTTTATAATTCTCATATTTATATATCTAGTTATTGCACTCTTCCTTTTACTAGTTGTAACTTCCTGTTATGTTTATGGCGGGCACTGTGCCTGACACAATGGAGAACACAGCCTTGGACTAGGAAAAGGATAATTTCCCTCATTTATTACCCAGGAAATTCAGCACTTTCAGCTGAAAAATGCTAGTGGTGGGCAACTTAACAACCCCTTCAACTGCTTATCAAGTCTTCCCCTGTGGCAATAATGCCACTGATATTTGAAGCCTTTCGCAAATTATAAAAATTACAATTCTTACTCACTGAGCTGAGGTGGGGGGGGCGGGTAGGGGCGACATGGGAGCAGCCTTAGATAAAAAGACCACAAATTTGCTCTATTTTTACCTGAATCTCTAGCAGCTTTCCCAATAATTAATAATTATAAATTATTATTTGTTTTCAATCAACTTTCAGAGCTGTGAAATTGGTATTTTTGTCCACTTGTTCTCTTCACTTAATTGTGCTAATACATTTTCCAAATGTGTCCATTGTGTAACAACATATTGCAAATTGAAAGACTATAAATTAGAATTAAATTTATTTGTTTTTGTTTTCCATTTTTAAAATCATCATTATTTTAGTTGCAAATTACAATTTACTTAGTTAACAATGTTATATTTGTTCCCATTTGAAGTCTCATAGCTTTACATATAAAACATTGCCTTCAGTTTCAAAGTGCTATGTAAGAATTGGATAAAATGCACATTATGAATTAAGATAATTATCTTCAGAGTATTCAGATTAGTGCATTAAATCAACATGGATTAAAAAGGCAAGTTAGTTTAATTGGAAAATGTAATTCCTTTTTTAATGCTACAAAATGGTTACATCTGTATGGAAATGAAGAACAACTTAAAAGTTTATACATTTTTATAATAAGCACTAGAGGTCTGGTGCTTGAAATTAGTGCATGCGGGGGTGTCCCTCAGTCCATCCTGCACCCTCTCCAATCTGGGACTTCTCAGGGTTATGTTTGACTACCGGTTTAGGCCCAATACCACAGGGCCTATACCGGCAGTCGGACATCCCTCGCACAATCCGGCTCCTAAAAATTTGCCTGCCTGCCTGCCTGATTGCCCCTAACCACTCTGTCTGCCAGCCTGATAGCCCCATAAATGCTCCCCTGCCAGCTTGATTGACGCTTAACTGCTCCCCTGCCAGCATAATTCTCCCCAACTGCCCTCCCCTGCGGGGCTGGGGGGACTGCGGGACTGAGACTGGATGAGGCAGGGCTGAGGGACATGGGGGACTCCAGCTGGATGTGGCAGGGCTGAGAGCACTGGGAGCTGCCATGTTTGTGAAGGCAGGAAGTCAATTAGCATATTCCCTCTTTATTGTCAGTGGTACCTCCATCTTGTGAGGGTGTGATGGTCAATGAGCATATTCCATCTTTATTAGATAGGATTTGCAATTCCCATCCATGAAATACCTGTTTATGAGTTTTTATTATTATTTGTTACTAGGCTCAGTGCATGAAATTAGTGCACTGGGGGATGGGGTTCCCTCAGCCAAGCCTACCCCTCAGTCCAGGAACCCTCAGTGGATGTCCTACTGATGGCCACAGTCTGACAGCAGAGGCTCTGTGCAGGCGTCCCATGTGTGTGTGTTTGTGTGTGTGTGTGTCCCGTGTGTGTGTGTGTGTGTGTGTGCATGTGTGTCTTCGGGGGGCCTGCCTCCAGCCACACCCTGGAGGCTTGGAGCAGGCGACCGTCTCTGTTTATCTCTCAGGCTCCTGGCCTCCACTGCATGTTGTACTCTCCCTTGAGCTGTGACAGGGTGGGGCACCCTTTCCTGCTGTGGGATCGCCAGGGAGACCCAGGGGCGGCCAGGGAAGAGGTGGGTGCCCCCTTTTCCCTGCCCCCCTCTGCTTCTCTGATCATCGGCAGGGGTGCGGGCAAAGGCGGCCGGTTCTCCGATCCAGGGCCAGGGGCAGTGCCTCCCAGCTCTTGCCTGCTGCCTGTGTTTCCAATCACTGTCCTTCCCCTATGGCCTCCTATCACTGCACCTATGTATGCAAATTAACCACCATCTTTGTTGGCGGTTAATTGCATATCACCCTGATTAGCCAATGGGAAAGGTAGTGAAGTTATGGTAAATTACCATGTTTGTCTATTATTAGAGAGGATTTGTCTTTTCCTTATTGACTGCTGGTGTTTTTAAAACACATTCTGTATTCTGTTCTTTTTATTGATTCTGTTTATTGCAAATATCTTTTTCGAGTTTGTGATCTTTCTTTTTTACTTCCTTCCTGATATTTTTAAGAATAGATATTTAAAATTTTAACTAGTCAAATTTATTAATGTTTCTGTATGACTCATGATTTTATATTAAAAATATTTTACTAAATATATTTGTATTTTATCTAAACCTTTCTAAATTGTGTTTCTTGCATTTTAGTTTTTAATTCATCTACAATTGGATTTTATGTATGGTGTGGGATGGGGAAGAAATTAAAAGTGTTTCCATGTGACAAAAAATATGTTATAAATTTTGAAACTTTTATCCAAAAGGTGTTCTTTAAATTCAGTTGTAAATAAAATCATGGTGATGCAAAGTACAGCATAGATAGAGAATATAGTCAGCAATATTCTAATAACCATGCATGGTGTCAGGTGGGGGTACCAGACCCATTGGGGTGTTCACTTCAAAAGGTATACATGTGCCCAATCACCATGCTGTACACCTGACACCAAAACAATATTGGATATCAATTGTAACTGACAAACCTTTTTAAAAGTTGCTTTTCAAAAATTATTCTCATTGTTTAATATTACCAGAAACTGCATTCATAATCACTACATACAAATTAAAACCGAAATCAAAATAATTATAAATAGTCACTTAAAATATAAAGGTTAAGAGTTTTGTTCTATTCTTCATTGCTAGCCAGTAGTAGGTTTCTATATTTCTTTAATGGCTTGTGTATCGCACGGCAACATGCAGGAATCCTTTTTCTGATATTCTGCTGCTTTATCCGGCTGGCTTGTTGGACATGCAATATTGCACTTTCAACTATGCCTTCTATGCTATCACATCTCCTTGCTCATGAATTATCATTCACAAATCTTTGAATAGCTCTTTTATATCCATATCATCAGCTTCATATTGACTAAGAGAAGACTCTCATGAGTAAGGCAAAGGTCATCCTCCCTAATTTCCTCATCCTGCACCTGCTCCTAAGATTGAATTTGGCTTTCCCAGGATATAAGATTGCTTTCTACTGAGCCTTCCTCATGAAAACTACCAGATTCTCTGGAACTGACTCCCAC